CAGGACAAGCGCTCCTGGCGCTCCGAGCCGTTAGCTGAGCCGAGAGTAAGGAAGCGGGAGTGAGCGGAGGGTGCTTCAAGGTGCACCTCTGCAGCTTGGCCCTGGGATGGGGATTTATCCCGGTGGAAATTCCCGGCGGGGCAGGGGATACTCGGCTTTGCCCGCCTTTCCCTGAGCGGGCACCTGGGTGTCTGTGCGCCCGCAGGGCTTCCGGGTGGTCCTGGCTGAAGAGTGCTGGTGGAAGTCCCTGGTGCCGCTGATGGGCGAGGTGAGGAGGCAGATGGGGGACAAGGCGGTGTACATCAGTTTTGATATCGACGGACTAGACCCCGCGTACGCCCCGGGCACCGGGACACCAGAGATAGCCGGGCTCACGCCTGCGCAGGTAAGGGGGACGCAGCTTCATTTCCTGGTGGGAAGGGGACGTTTTTGCTCCCGTGGAAGGAGGTTGTGCCGCCAGCGAAGGGTTAGGGAGGCCGGGGAGCATTTGATAGGGGTGATGAGGAAAGGAAATGTTGGACTGATGTGGTTTGGGCTGTGTGGGCTGGGTTTCCCTAGCTGCCCACAGGGAAAGCAGAGCCCCAACCAGTCCGCTAGGTCAGATGTGCTTCTTGATCCCAAATGTGGGTTTTGGTTTGGTTTTTTTTTCCCCCCTAGGCTTTGGAGATTATTCGTGGCTGCAAAGGAATGAACATAGTGGGATGTGATCTCGTAGAAGTCGCACCCATGTACGATGTCTCTGGTGAGTCTAAAGGTGGTTGTGAGTGAAACGCCGGTGCCTGGCAGGGGCGGCTGACCCGCCGTGGGTGAAAGCGGTTGGGCATTCATGGCTTGGGGTTTTTTTTTCCTCCACTTTGTTTTTTTTTTTTAGGTAACACAGCTCTCCTGGGGGCAAACCTGCTGTTCGAGATGCTGTGCGTTCTCCCCAGAGTGGAGACAATGTGAGGGCAGCTCCCACCTGCCCCAGGGGCAACACAGCTCCAACCTCAGCCGAGGCTTCCCGGGTCCCGTTCCCCTCGACCGGCTGCAGCGAACGCGGGCTTTGCAGTAAGGAATAAATGCCATTTGCCACTAGAAAAGGTAATTTTAAACTGCTAAACTGTAGGGAGCAGATGGGTTTGAAGAGCCCCTTTAACTGGTGGCCGTAGCTTTGGAGTTTGCCTGGGAAAGGAAAAGGCAAGGCTGACGGTGTTTCACCTCTGCTTTCACGGCTGGGATTCCTCACCGGGCTTGTGGCAAAACTGTCACTGGGAAAAAGTTTCTCCCATCGAGATGCAGCCAAGGGACAGCAAATGTAGAGGAAGGGAGGGCAGCTGAGGGTGGCCTGGGGCTCATTCTGAGAGGAGGGGGATAAATCTCCCGCTGGGGATAAGCAGGCATCTCCTATGGCAGGAGTGGTTTAATCGGCCCTGGGGTTTCTGAGCTGGCACGGGTGGTTTGTACGTGGGAACACAGAGCCGCCTCGTCACACGTTAAAATAGTTTATTTTGGTTGCGAAATTTTAATTGTCTTAAAACAAAATAACATCAGTGCCTGTTCACAAATACAAAAAAAAAAAAA